TCTATCTATTTTTCTTTTTCTAAAACAAATTAAATTAATAGCGTTTAATGAGAAACCAAAAGAAACTAGAGAAGTTGAAGTAAAAGAAAAAGATGGAAAACAAAACAAAAAAAAAAAACCACTAAACAATATACCACAATAGTGAACAAATACGAAAGGAAGACTATACTTTTAACTGTTATTTGTAAAAAAAACCTTTTAATACAATTAGAAAAAAAAAAAAGTTCTTGATTATATTGTTGTTTTTTTTTGATACTTTGCAAAATAAAATAATCTGTAATTAAAATAATCTGTAATCAAAATAAAATAATCTGTAATTTTTTGAAATGGAATATGAAATAAGTAACACCAAAAACAAACAACATTCGTCATTTCGCCCACAAATTCTTCAATGACGTTTTTCGGCTTCAAAAAAGCAAAAAAAAAAAAATAAAAAAATAAAAATAAAAAATAAAACAAAAAAAAAAGATGAGAAAAATGTAAAAAATTGATTTTTTTTTTCTTTATATTGTTTGTTCTAAATTAAGTATCTTAGATTGTGGAGGAGAAGAAAACAAGGAAGAAAAATTTGTTGTTGTTGTTGTTGTTCAATCTGACATAGCAATTTGTCGACTGATACCAATAAAAGCCACCCACCAGTGTTCTTTATCGATGCACTAAAATTAGTAACACCTCTGAAACTGTACACCAAAAAAAAAACTGTTTGATGGAATAGTAAATGAGAAGCGAAAAATGAAAAACGAAAAAAAGTTGCTAAAGTTATTTTGAAAAACAACGTTTTTTTTTTTTTTCTGTTGAAATGTTTGTCGATCAAAAAAAAAAACCATTTCTGTATATCTGAACTGTTAAACAAATTAAAAAAGCACCGTCTTCTTGTCTCATTTCTGGCAACTATAACGAAAATAGTAATAAAAAGCATACAGTAAAGGTTTCAGTAATCAGAATGAATACAACGATAGTTGTACAATTTTCAAAAAAAATTAATAACGTTATTTGTCTGTCTCCTAATTTTTATATGTTTACTGCTTTTCTTGTTTGTAAAAAGTAAGTAGAAGAGTGCTTTATCGTTTTCGCCCTAAATTTCTTTAAACATACAAGTCAAACTAACCTTACAGTTTATGTCCACTGAATAAAACCAACCATTTTTTGTGATGCCCTATAAACAGGCACAAAAAAAAAGGGAAAAGCTAAAATGTTATATAAGACTTAAGTGAAGATAAAATCAAAAGTTTACTTACAATTTAAATAAGGCAATAGTCGAGAGAAAAAAAAAGATCAGTTGTATTACCAGCAGAAAAAAAAAAAACGAAGAAAGCTGTTCGCACCTTTAACAATAAACTAAGTTAAACTCCTAAACTTTGTTGGTTTCTTTTTTGCAAATTATCCGATTAATTTGCTATATCACAGAAAAAAAATGACCTTTTTATTTTTTTGCACTGTTTTTTCCTCTTTCAAAAAAAAAAAACAGTCTGAAAAGCAGACACCAAATTAGAATTAGCAACAAGTCAGCAAATAACGGCATTAATACAAGCAAACAAAAAAAACCTAGTTTTTGCTCTTTTTTTTTTTATTTACTTTTTAATTATCAATCAAAAACAGTAAATCAAAGAAAAAAAACTTTGATAAAGAAAAACAAAAAACGAAAAAAAAAAAGCTAACTAGATTTGTCATAATATCATTGACCTTTCTAAACTCGTAGATCAGTTTTTCAGCCACAATTTCTATTTTGATTTGTTCTGTACAAAAAAAGTTTTTTATCCTAATTTTATTTTCAAAGCTTTCTTTTAAACTTTTTTTTTTTGACTTTTTGAACTCTTTGTAACTTAATCTGGTTAGCGATACAATATGTTGCTGACAAACCGACAAAGAGGAGGAAAAACTGTGGTTCTTGAAGAAAAGAAAGGATTACGACGACGGTGGCGACGATGACTATGCAGCAGATGCTGTTGACGATAGCGATCAAGAAGAAGAAGAAGAAGAAGAGAAAGACATTAAACAATTACAAGAAGGAGGAAGAAGACAACAGTAAGAATACGAGGAAATAAGAAGAAGAAGAAGAAGATGATGATGATGATGATGATGAAGATGATGATGACGATGATGATGACGATGATGAAGAACGGCAACGATAACAAAAGGAAGATGATGCTACTTAAGATTGGAAAGAAGAAGGAGGAGGACGATAGCAACGGCAAGAAAGTAGATAGTGATAATGATGGCGAAGAAGAAGAAGGAGAAGAAGAAGAAGAAGAAGAAGAAGAAGAAACAGAACGATGAATCAAATAACCAAAGCAAAGTTGGCCGCTTGGATAAAGTGAACAAACAGATCATTATCAATCGTTATTCACCTTATCACTTTACAATTCGTTTAGTTATTCTCTAAGCTCATTCTGTTTTAATGCTTTCAGTTGATCTTTCTTATGCTTTTCAAAAAAAAATAGCTTTTTTACTATATAATTTTCAAAAAATCTTATTTTTTGTCAACCAGTTCTTTATAAAGCTTGACGGTTTCTTCAAATTTGAGTTGCCTGTTTGATCACACCTTCCTATCTACTTTTTTCTTTTTTTT